TTGGTGACTAAAAGAGATTAATTGAATAAAGGGGCTTAAACTGTCAAATGTGTGATAGTTGTATTTTGGGTTAGGAAACCCTCATGGATAAGGGGTGGATGAAATTATGGGAAGGATCCCATCAAGATTTCGTCCAAGGCCTTACTCTAGAAGGTTCCATGGGCTGCTTGGTGATTAAGTTGTCCATTAGGGTTTTGGCTGAAACCCTAGAAGCTTACAATATAAATAGACCCCTTGGGTTGTAGAAATCGGCTACACTTGCTTCCTTGGAACCCTAGGGCCGATTTCATACCTCTCTCCTCTCTCCAAATCATCCTCTTGCTAGTTGGTGTTTGTAAGCCATTAAAGGAGTGACAATTGTGACTCTAAGCTCCAAGACAAGAAAAATCAAGCAAGCTACAAAAGGTAATCATATAGATCTGAGTTACTTATGTCAAATTCGAATTGTATACACTAGATCTAGGGTTTGCAAGACTTGGATAAATTGCATGTTCAATTAGAGAAACCTAGATCCAAGCATTAGGGTTTGCATTTGCACATAGGAAAGTTCTTATGGCTCAAACCCATCAATTTCATGTGAAAACTATAAAAATACCTTTCTATAGTTTGTATTGTAAAATCTATACAAATGGTGTACTATGATTCAAACATGTGAAAACTATAAAATATACTTTTCTTTAGTTGTGTATTGTAAAATCTATACGTATTTCATGCCACACTATTCATTCCTTACATATCCTCTTTATGAATCAATACCTGTTATGATATAAAATTTATTATGATCCAAAACTTGTTATGATCCAAAAGCAAATTTTTAAGTTGATTTTTGTGATAAAAAAATTATATGATAGAACCGATATTTGATTCAAAAAAGAAAAAAATTAAAAAGAAAAGAAAAAAACAAAAAAGAAACAAAAAATAGAAAAAACGAAAAACCGAGTATATATTGATAAAAAAGTTTTTTTTAAAGAAGAAATTAAAAAAATAAATGAAAACACAAAAAAAAAAAAAAAAAAAAAACTTAAAAATCGAATATACTATTACCTAAAAAAGGTTTTTAATTTTTTTAATAAAATAAAAAATAATAAATAAAAATAATAAAAAGATAAAAAAATGAAAAAGGAAAAGAAAAACACATTTAAATGACATTCCATGGACGTTCAACACACATGATTATTCCCTCGAGTTCGTATTACGTTCCATCATCCATGGACGTGTGTCACGTGTGAATACATCACAACCAAGTAAATGAGTTTGACATTTGTGTCATTGACGAAATGATTGATGGAGAATAGGCTTCGCGGTTCCTACCAATTTCTGGCTTCCTACCGGATCCAAACCCTATGTGTGTGTGTGTGTGTATGTGTATATATATATATATATATATATATATATATATATATATAATACCAAATATAATTAATAATTTCTTTTTATAATTTAATTTTATATTTTATGAATTAATTTGTATAATTTTTATTAATTTGTGTTTATTTTAAGATTAAAAATTAAGTAGGTTGGGTGACTTTGAAAAGAACCCAAGATGAGAGGTAAGTTACTCGAGTTGGGGAAGAAACCCCTAGATTCTTCTACTCTGCTTTTCAATGATTTTGGAATCCAATTGTTAGAAATGGTTACATAAAGGGAGCTTTCTCGAACAGTTATTTTAAACCAAAGACCATGTTTTATTGCTGACATGTCATTTAAGTGATGAAATTGGAGGTCAATATCCACGTCCCAGTTAATTACCGGGTAACCGTTTCGCTTCTTCCAAAAGGTGTAAATAACATGTAATTTTTCACTTTAATGGAACCAAAGATATTTGAAAGACTTTTTAAAACCAAATGAAAAACTTCATTGTACCTCCATTTCAATAACCCTAATTTTTTCTATGTTTGGTATTTTATGTTTTTTTTTTAATTTGCTTATTTTTTAAATACTCTAGTTTTTTTAATTAATGTAGTATTTAATTGAATGAAAAATAGTTTTTTTAAAAAAATCTATATTTTATTTTTTATTTAAAGTTAATTAAAATAATTGATGTTGAATAATGTTTTAATGATAGGTATACCGTATGTTTACTGGTTGGTTGTGGTGCACATTAATTGTTACTCATGGGTATACTACTGGATAATCTAATAATTTGCGTCGCCGATAAAGACGTAGTCGATTGTTATATAGCCTCACCTAACGATCAGTGTTACAGCCAAATTAATAACCACGTTGAAGGCACTAAGTTCACCCTCTTCTTCGGTGGGAAACGAGAACCTCCGGCCTAGCATAATCACGACAAATACAGCGCAATTACCTGCTGCGCTCATGACGGCAGGTGCAGGACGTGCTGGAGCGGCGGCGATCATTGCTGGATGATCGAGAGCATCAGTAAGCAGAGGAGCAGCCTGGCCCCTAGTATCTTGCTAGGGTGCATTATCAATAACCGGTTCAAAAAAAAAAAAAAAAAAACCTAACGATCAGTGGGGCAGCTCCACTAATTATTACCTTTACCGGCGATAAAACTTATATAGATCCAATGGTTAGGGTTTATTTCGTCGGGCCAATCTTAAGTAACCTAACGGGAAAAAAACCCTAAAAAAAAACTGTTTAAAAAAAGTCGGCATTAAAAGTGATTAAGGTTCATATTCCGTTTAAATATATCGCTGGGATGGCCGCCAGAAGTACTCCAGAAGCACTGTAAAACACACATAAACCTACAAATCATAAAACAACCATTATATGTCAAGAAAAGAGCAAACCTAAAACTCGAAGCAACAGACTAAACACATCAAATTGTTCCATGAAAAACTACTTAGAATATTATCACCTAGGCACCAGTATGATCGATAAATCCCACACACTTTTGATCCTCATCACCCAGAGGAAATGGCCTGTACATATATAACATCACCATTGAGAACATAAGAGTGCAGGTTTCCTGTAACGCAGTAGTCTGCAACACGACATTCAGTCCCCTCGTGAAGATAATGAGCAAGAAAGGGAACACATCATGCCTAGAAGTAACCTCCTTGAGCGACCTATACGACCTCACAAAGTTTGCTGTATCCTTAGCCACTTTGAACGACACAGCCGAACAAAAAGTGTGGAGAAAAACAACGACGCCACAGATGATATCTGTAATCGTAAAACTTGCCCTCAAATTCATCCAGTCTTCACTATAAGGGCCAGATTTCCACGCCATTATAAAACATACACTAGCCCAAGTCCGAAGTAGGATGACAATCGACAAAATGAGTATTATCCATCGTGGCAGAAACCGCCTCCAATTACAACATCCAGCACCGATTAACACTATTTGGCCGAAGAAATATATATCCCTAATAAACTGAATTATGTAAAAAAAGATATACCATTCACGAGGAATACCAGTAACCTTCAGGTCATGCTGAACCGCCACCGCCCACATAAAGTAAAGGAGATTCGTAACAAGCAACAAACCCATTAGTAAATGGATCGCATTAACACATTGTTGGTTCTTAAAGGATATGGAGATCAAAAACCCTAGAAGACATAAATAAATGAGGAAGAAACTGAAGTAAAAAAAGGGCTGCGGTTGCCCAGCTGATAAATAATCTTTAGTGGTGCCGTCATCACCGGTGTTGTAAAGCTCTGTGAGGACATCCATCGTCAAGAGGGATAGATCGTTGCAGTTGGCGAAGTAAAGTGAGTACACACCGGGATATATGACATGATACGATTTGTTAAAAGAGGACTGAGGAGGAGGGGAGAGATCTCTAAAAGTAAAGAGGACTGAGATGAATTTAATATCTAAGGGGCACAAATCCGGGTTTCTTTTAAATTCTTGGCGGTAGCGGTATGACAGTTCATCCGATAGAAGGAAGAAACCAATACGCGAAGGATCAGGTTGTGATAAGTTGGATGTAAACGGAATGGAGGAGATCCCGACGGAGGAGACCTTGACGGAAACGTAACCGGTATGTGAGTATTCGAACTCCGAGAAGAGGATCGTATTTCGGTTATGGGATCGGATCTTCGTAGATATGATATCCGCCGTGGATGGTGCAGTCATGATCAACACGAAGAAGAGGAGGAGAGCGGCAGTGATAAATTTTCCTAAAATCCTCATTCTCGACCCACAGGTGGTAGCCTGACGGCGGAGGAAAGCGGTGGTGAGGAAAAAGTGAGACTATATAGTTAACCTATTCTTTTATTGAC